GGTAGTTATCAATGGCTCACTGTCAAAGTGGGAAGACGTATCAAGTGGAGTCCCAGAGGGATTTGTCTCAGGTCCGATACTATTCAATATTTTCATTAATGACAGATAATGGAACTGAGAGTATGCTTATAAAATATGCAGATGACATCACACTGGGAGGGGTTGCAAACACTTTGGAGGATAGGATTAGAATTTAAAATTACCTTAAACTGGAGAATTCGTCTGAAATCAGCAAAATGAAATTCAATAGACAGGTGGAAAGTACTACATTAAGGAAGGGGGGAAAAAATCTAATGCACAGCTACATAATGGAGAACAACAACCTCTTCTTCTTCTTCAAATAATGGTCCCTCTTGTACCTAAGTTGGAACAGAGAGCGAGGATGAGGATGAAATGGTCGTGCGGAGAATGGAGTTTGCGTTCCTCTGTAGGTGTGTGGGGCTTCAGGAAGAAAACAGGTAAGTGAATGGATTGATTGATGTGAAACTGGGAGATTACCTTTGATAAGAATTTGGGATGCAGGCTCAGTGAGACTATCTTTTGTAGAAAATTGTGAAAGGTGGGTCCGCCATCATAGCTCCGAATTTGCCGACCCTTCTCACGAAAGTGATACCAACAAGGAAGGTGACTTTCATGAAAAGAAGGGACATAGAGCACAATGTTAACAGTTCAAATGGTTGTTTTGTTTCATTAGCATAGATAGAACTAGGTTCAGGTCCCATTGGGGTGTGATGGGCTGGGGTGGGAAGGTTCTGATGAGACCCTTCCAAAATGTAGCAGTTAGCAGGTGTGTAAAGACAGAGTGACCTTCCACAGGAATGTGCTAATTAGCACCAGATGGATTTTCAGAGAGTTGATGGCAAGACCTGATGCCTTCGGGGATAGAACACAGTCCAGGAAGAGGATGATCCCTGCTGATTCCGGTGAAACTCCATTTTGTTGGGTCAAGGAGGCAAAGTGCTTCCACTTATTCCAGTAACAGCACCTGGTGGATTCCTCCCTTGCTGCTGGAGAGGATATCTTGCGCAGATGAAGAACAGGTCTGTTCTAAAGCAGATGCCCATTCAAAACCATGCTCTGAGGTGGAGCAGCGCCTGTGGATTGGGATGTCTGATCTTGCTGTTGCACTGTGTCAGCAGATTGGGGAAGGTGGGGATAGAAATTGGTGGACAGGTTTACATGAAAAGGAGATTGGGAAACCAGAACTGTCTGGACCAGCTGGGGGCGATCAGAATGACCATTGCTCCGTCTCGTTGGATCTTGTACAGTACCTGAGGAACAGTAAAGGAGGATTTGATCTGACCAGGAGAATAGGGGATCATTGTCCTGAGAGAGGTGGCAGAGACCTCCCTTGGAGTAGTACGTGGTGCATTTGCTGTTTATATGCGAGGCAAAGAGGTCTCTGATCGGAATCCCACATTGGATGAAGATGTCACTACCAAACCATGAAGTTTCCACTTGTGATCAATCATAAAATGTCTGCTGAGCGAGTCCGCAAGCACAAGAGGGTCTGATGAGCAATGCACCAATTCCAGAGATTGACTGTTTCTGTGTATAGAGCAGTCGATCTTGTGGCCCCCCTCCCATCCCACCACTTGTTGCTGTAGAAAACAGTGGCCATATTGTCTGACATGTGTCGATGATGGTCGTCTTTTCCGGGGAGGAGAGGAAGGGGAATCCCTATGCATACATGATGTGGGTCTGTCTGAAGGGATGAGAGCAGGGACACTCAGCATGAGGTCTATGACGTGATGTTTGGGCAAGTAAACTGTCTGGAGTCACATCTGGAGGCAGCAAAGATGGAGTCGAGTGAAGGCGGTCATGTATGTATGCAAAACCATGTGGCCAAGGAGGGATAGGCAAGTCCTGGCCAGTACATTAGGATTGTTGATAATGCGAGTTATGCTTTCTCTCATTGCCTGGAACCTGCCCCTTGGTAGGTAAGCCTGTGTTGTGACTGAATTGATGGTGTTTAGCATATTTGACATATAAATACCTTACAACACCAGCTACAACAGTGCCATCGAATGCCTATCATCACTTTCAGGTGACATTATAAATAAGAAGCAGGCAGCATTATCTCCCGTAAATGTAAACAAATTTGTTTATCTTAGCAATTGGCTGAACAAGAAGTAGGACTGAGTGGACTTGTAGGCTCTAAAGTTTTACATTGTTTTGTTTTTGAATGCAGTTATGTAAAAAAAATAATTCTACATTTGAAAATTGCACTTTCACAATAAAGAGATTGCACTACAGTACTTGTATAAGGTGAACTGAAAAATACTTTCTTTTGTTTATCTTTATTACAGTGCAAATATTTGTAATCAAAAATATAAAGTGACCACTGTACACTTTGTACTCTGTGTTGTAATTGAAATCAATATATTTGAAAATGTAGAAAATATCCGAAAATTTTTAAATAGTATTCTATTACTGCTTAACAGTGAAATTAAAACTGCAATTAATCACATTTTTCTCTCATGATTAATCGCAATTAATTGTTAATTTAATCGTTTAACAGCCCTAGTTTTTTAATCAAAATATCATGCTATACCAACTGAAAGGCCTTACAGAAGTCTATTACATCAACACTATTACCTTTATCAGCCAAACTTCTAATCTCATTAATAAAAGATACCAAGTTACTGCCACTAAGAAGCCTGATAGCCACACATGTGGAATCTCCAGCTTGCAGGGCCATAAGGCTCTACAGTGGGCAGAGTGTTCTTCTGCCACAGGCAACATTTTTAGTCAGCTGCTGATTGAATTAACAAGATGTTGGCCTGCTAAAGATAAGTATGCAATGAAAAGCAGTGAGGGACGCTTTTGTGTGGTTTACCTAGTACCCATCCACTTCCCATTGGAGTCTTGCCACTGACCTTAATGAGAGATGGATCAGGCCTCTAAGGGTATGTCTACACTACAGGATTAATCCGAATTTAGATAATTCGAATTTGGGAAACAGGTTGTATAAATTCGATTGTGCGCGGCCACACTAAGCACCTTAATTCGGTTTTAAACCATATTAATTCGGTGGTGTGCGGCCACACTACCCCATTAACTTAAACACAGTAATTCGGTGGTGTGCGTCCACACTAACCCTAATTCGAATTAACAAAATCGATTTAAGCTCTACTCCGTTCGTCGAGGTGGAGTACAGAAATCGATTTAAAGGGCCCTTTAATTCGAATTAACTGGCTCTGTAGTGTGGACGGGTGAAGGGTTAATTCGGATTAAGGCAGCTAAATCCGAATTAAAGTCCTAGTGTAGACCAGGCCTTGGTAATGGAACGAGGATTTCACTGATGTCACTAACTGGCTATGTCTGCCTATTACTTTCAGGTGGTGTTTCACGGCATCACATATGGGGAGTAAAATTTATCGAAACCATCATGAAATGTATGTACACTGTACAGAAAACCCATCATACTGAACGAACAAGAAACCTAACCGGTGATGATTTCCTACAATGTTTGGAATGTGCCTGCAATAAAAATAAAAACGTGCTGCATGAACTGAGAAAATATGTACGGCCTGGTCAACACTAGAGCGGGAAATCAATCTAAGTTACGCAACTTCAGCTATGTGAATAATGTAGCTGAAGTCGACATACTTAGATCTACTTACCGCGGTGTCTTCACTGCGGTAAGTTGACTGCTGATGCTCCCCTGTCGACTCCGCCTGCGCCTCTCGCGCTGGTAGAGTACCGGAGTCGACAGGAGAGCGCTCAGCGGTTGATTTATCGCGTCTTCACTAGACACGATAAATTGACCCCTGCTGTATCGATCGCTCCGGAGGTAAAGGTAGACATGCGCTGAGTCCCATCATAAGTGATGTTAAACCAAACAGCACTTCCATATGGATGCATCGCAATGCTTCTGGCAAGATTAGAGCAGCAATACTTGTTTGGATGTATAGGAGGCAGCCTCAGTGCTTCTGAAAATTCAATTAAGGGCCATGCCTTTCGGCACCCCTTTATTCGCAGCTCGAACCCGAAGACTCCAAGCACTCTTGCAGAAGCCCAGCCCACAATGACAATGCAATGGATCTCCAAGTGTCTAAACAACACATTTTAGCCACCCATCCTGCAATGTTAGTAGTGCAAGCATTTAAAAATTTTGGCCTTAATGCTTTTTAGCCCAAGTCTGACTCCTGATTGCTTAGATGCAGAGTGTTGCATGTATACTGTGAGCTTACAGTGTGGGTCAACACTGAAAAGTGTCTGTAAAAATGACATTGTAGGGGGTCCATGTTCATTTTCTCTCAAATGCCATATTGAATTCACTCAGTGTACAAACAGGAGGGTTTTTCCCCCTCTAACTGAAAGCCCTGCTAATTTAGAATGGCACGTGAGACTCAAGAAAGATTATTGCTGGTGATGATGCATGAGCCAAAAAAAAAAAAAAAGGTTATGCCAGACAAATTCTGCCCTTTCTAACAAACTAAGGAAGAGACAATGTAGGTTAACTATAAGAAAAAAAGATCTTGACAGTGAGGATCTTCCAAGCTAAATGATGGAAGCTACCTGAAAATATTTAAAACTGAATAAAGCACTAAAAATTTAGGTTAGAACAAAATGCTGTATTGCCTGCATGATTTAGTAGACCTTAGTCTAATAAAGACCTAGTCTTTTCCAGTTCTAACTATTATGATTCTGTGATACCATGTTTTTTCCCCCCTCTTAAATGATACTTGAATTAAACCAAACCATCTGTATTTTCACATCTTCTATATACACAATAGGCCAGAAAGCTAGAATTTTCAGTTAATTCGTGTACAAGTGGCATCAGTAGTCAGGATCTCCCGTTGCCAAAAAAATAATGTTCACAGGGTCAGGTTATCTAGACTCCTGATGCCTATGAGTGAAATATTAATAGTGTTAGTAGCACCATACCCAAATATTATCACAAACAGTTGCCATCAGCACACACACATAATACAGGCTGCATTGCACGAACAGAAGTTATATACAAGAGCAAAGATACATTGCCTAAAACTTACTGTATACAATAGTTCCTCTGGAGTTACTGGGCTGGTGAAAATGGTACGAAGACATCGGAGGCAAGCTTCAATAAACTTCAGTTCTGGTGACAGCAATCCTGTGAATATACATATAGTTTCATTCTTTTTGCTTATTTTAAAACACAAGTGTTGTAGAAATAGTTACCAAAGTATATTGCATTAAATGAAAGCCAAGATACCTTGCAATAAGGCTGGGATAATATGGCAGTCTAGTAGAGATTTGACATTGTTTTCTGTACCCATCGCAAGGCTTCCTAGCACTACCGCACATTCAGTTCTCAGTTCCGTGCTGGAGGTTTCTTGCTGAAGCAAATACAGCAACCTGTAAATGGAATTACAGAATAATTCCAGTTATACAAATACCCTTTACCCAAAAAGCCTAGTTATCCAAATCCCAGTGTGCCCCCCATGTAGCCCTATGTTAATCAATTACCTGCTAATATATTCTCAGTCAACCTACTAGCGCCTGCTGGCACTAATCAGTGGCTTAGTATTTGTATAGCAGCTCAGAAAAATGCAGAATTATGTACACAGTGGTTTTAATACAATTTGGGTGTTTTAATAAACTTAAAGTGCAAAATATTAAGCAAATATCAACATTACTCCCTTCATTCCCCATATTTCTATCTTAGTGAGACTGCAGCTCAAAACAACACTTCTGTTTATCCAAATGCCTAGTTATCTAATCTTCTAGATGTCCCCAGGCCATCTGAATAAATAAGAAAGTGTACTGTATTTACAGAGGAATATTCAGCCTGAAGAAAACCATAGCATCACAGCATCAAATTCAAATGCAGCATGTCACATAAAAAGGCTACTGTTCCTACTGGAGGGAATGACAGAATCAAAACAGGAGGACAAAACAAACATCCTACAACAGTCATGCAGGTATTTTTACAATAAGTATTACTGTATCTGTTAGAGTAGACTTCCCATTATTACAGAAAGATACTGTATTCTGAACCTTCTAGAAAGATAACAGCAGAATAATGATTGACATCCTATAAAACTTCCTACTAGATACTGGTACAATCCAAAATTTGAGAGAGAGAGAGAGAGAGAGAGAGAGAGAGAGAGAGAATTTTGATAATTTTATTTAGTTTAAATCAGTGTCCTAATGCCCCATCTTTACATGAACACACACAATCACTGATAAATAGACAATCTTGACCATGCCTGTAAATAGATTCCCTGTTAAGAGACAATCTATCAATTTGGAATGGAATATTGGGTAAGCCACACCCATCAGCAATCAAGAAAGGAGGTCAATAGTGAGAAGTTTGGGGCCCAACTGCTCCTCTTATATAAACATAGGAACTGAGTCAAAAACCCAGTGGAGTCCTCCAGAGAACATGCATGCGGGCATGCATACACACTCACACCCTGTTAACAAGTGAGGACAACATTGCCTAGTCTCATTCTTAGACAATCCATCAGTCTGAAACAGACTACTGGGAATTAGCAAGTCCAAAACCTAGGAAAAAGGCAAGAGCTAGGGAACCTAGATATGAAGGGAGGACAGAAGACTACAAGACTTTAGCATCAAAGGCATCAATGTTTTTAAAACAGTCCTTAAAACAAAACAAACATTGCTCCCTTGCGGATTCTCTCATAAAATGCTTTATTTCGCTTCCCACATAATGGAAATAGATTTTGTACAAAGCTCTTAAACTGAAAGGTGATAAGATTTACCATTCTCCTTAAGTGACTTAACTGCTACTCACATTCACCAGGTGAAAGTTATTTTACAGGCACCAAGGCCTTTGTCCTTACTATTGTATAATATTAACAAGGCAGTGGCTTTTTGAATGGCTTTCTAGACTGAAGTAGGTTTTCCACGAGTTCTTCACAGAGACTCCAGTTCCATAGGCATATCTTGTCACGATCCAGGCAGTAAGTCTGAACTTGCCAGGGCTTTGGGAACCAACCGGATCCTTCTTCAAGAAATCTTTGAGGAGTAACTGCCAGGGAAAACAGACTGACTTCTTCAGATTGGAGAAATATCCTGTCAATACAGACTGTAAGGGACATGCTGACCCTGTCTTTCCCCATTTTCCTGGCCACCTGAGTTGAAAGGGGAAAGAAGAGAAATGCATATTTGAAGATCCAATCAGGTGACAAGATTTCTATTTTCCTTAAGTTTTTCTCCTAATGTTTGGAGCATAAGAGATGCTACTTTTAGTTGCATTTTGGTGCAAAAAGCACTTCTGCAGAGTTCCATACGGTGCTGTTAAAATACTGCTTCCCAGTATCCAATGTGTGGAAACTCAGCTTGAATGTTGAGTTTCCCCTGAATACAGTACACAAACTATAATGCTTTGATTCTCTAGAAGGTGGTAGATTGAAGAGTTTCCATTCTCGGGTACAAGGTGTATATGCTACCATGATGATTTATAAAAAGGCAGAGCAGTAGGGCAGTCATTCTGTATTATGCAGGAGGACATGAAAACATTACTAGGTATCTTATGAGAAAGCCAACTGCCCACTGTTCCAGCAGAATGATGTTCCTTTGCATGCCATAGGTGATTGCTTTCCTTAATTGGAAAAAAAAAAAAAAAAAATCCATGCACGCCCCCCTAGCTGGTCAGACAGGTGTCTGCTGTGATCCAGATGGATTGGGATCTTGAGTAGAGGTTTCCCCTAGGCCAGGTTTCTGGAATTATTCCATTATTTTAGAGACAAATTTGCAGTGGTGGGAGTGATCTAATTGAGCAGAGATACTGGGAGGAAAACCCACACTATAAAAGAAAAGATCTGAGAGGAAAGGCCACAGGATTGCATCTCAGCATGATACTATCAAGCCTGAGAAAAGAAGGGCTTGCTAGATGAAGTATTGGGTCTAAACCAAGACTTTGTTTCTCTGTAGTCCACGAGCAGGATAACTTTGTCGAGATGGATTCTTGTGATAGAGTTAAGCAGCTCTTTTCCCAGATGATCACACATCTATGCTGATTGACCAGAGAGAGAGAGAGAGAGAGACCTGGACCCCCTTTTATCTGCACTGCAATCAAATGAAGAGACCCAATGCCTGGAGAAATATGTGGATACTCTCTCCTCAGCAGAAGGAAAATCAGCACCTGCTAATATTTTGGAGATGTCTCATGGGATAGCAGGAGGAGATTCACTTACTGAATGTAAGCCTCCCCTACTACAAACCTCAAGTGTCTAGAATAGGAAGAATGGACTGGGACATGGAGAAATGGTTCTCTGAGGTCTATGGAGCATACATACAGTAGAACCTCAGAGCAACTGACTGTCTAGGCCAGGTTTCAGCGGTAGCTGAGCCCCCTACTCAGCACCAGTATGAGTTTGCAAGCGTGTGTGCGTGTGTGTGTGTGTGTGTGTGTGTGTGTGTGTGTGTGTGTGTGTGTGTGTGTGTGTGTGTGTGTGTGTGTAAACAGCATGTCCCCCTTATGGGGGGGAGGGGTGTTAAAAACAGCACATGCCCCTCCCAGCCAGGGGAGGGGTGAAAATGGTGTAGACCCCAGCGCTGCTCCTGCTCTGTTGGCTCTGGCTGCCTTGGGCCAGCAGCCCCAGGGTCTTGCTGTAAGTGGCTGCTCGTGTGCGGGGGTGGGGACACGCACCCCAAATGTGCCGATCTCTAAGATGCAATACAGGCACAGAACAATATTTGCCTTTTTGGGGGGGGGGGGGGGTGTCTCTGCTGCTGCCTGATTGATTACTTCCAGTTTCACTTGATCAGTCCATAACTCTGGTGTTTGTATCTTTGAGATTCTACTGTAGTCCTTTTTCTAGATCTCTTGGATTAAGATGACGTGCTCTATTCAGTAACATGTGCATCATGAATCAGATTGTTGTGAGGAGTCTAAAAAGGACAACGCTCTCTCCTTCAGTATAACAAAGACCCTTCTTGAAGGATTCTGACTTTTAGCTTAATCTCTTTTTCCTGGTGTGGGGACCTGAGGCAGGAAGAGGGAAAAAGAAATGGGAGGAATGATATCTGGAGGTATCAGCTGCCAGGTGGTTGAGGACTTGAGCCTTACTAGATCACACACTGACCAGGCCTAGCTTCCTCCTCACAAGTCCTTTACTGTGCTACATCAGACTGTGGAGGCTGGGAGGGTAAATAGCGAGTGTTTTAGCCACTAGCAATGGGCTTCCCTCAGAAGACTCACAAATACAGAGAACATCCCTAAACCCAACCCCACAGACAAGTGTTCAGATTTCCTTAATCCTGCAGGGATTATGCTTCAGACAGAGGGCAGCCCAGGCCTCATCTCCAGCCTACAGCAGTGCCCACTGTCACCCTTTACGAGGAGTCAGTATAGACTCATGGTCAAATGCTTGTCCATGGCAGGGGGAGGCCCAATCCCTTGCAGTCAAGGGAGTAGGCACTATTACAAAGAACTAGCTGCATTTCCTGCTATGAGTCAACTCCTCAACTAACGAGTTAGGGTCCAGAGTCTACTAGGTGAGGAGTGTGGGAGGAGAGAGTACAGTGGAAAAGACTAGCTGTCAAGCCTGCTCAAACAGGCTGAGAGCACAGCCTGTTCCTTCAGAGACAACACACTGCGCTTATGACACAGCTCACAGTTTATATAAGAGGAGCAGTGAGACCCCAAAACTTCTAACCAATGAGCAGCCTCCACAAGTGCCTGTGGGGCACCTAACCCTTTAATTTGTTCCAGTGTACAAGAATGCAGAAACACATTCTCATCTTCACTACATTACTGCAGAGAACTTCATGCAGAAGTCAATGGAGTTACTTTTGATTAATACCAACGTAAATTGAGATCAGAGTCTTGGGTAAGAGTCAACAGATTTTGGAGGGAGGCTCTCAAAGAGCACTTTTAGACTTTTCAGATGATTAATATACTGTAATAAATGCCTTAATACACATTTATATATGCATGTGGTCACTACAGGGTACAGTTAGCAGTGTTTGGGTGCCTTATCTGTGTGTTTGCGTACCTCAGTGTGTTTGGATTTTTAAGTTAAGGTTAAACTCTAAATTCCTGGGTTTGTAATGCTTATTTTGGGAATAATTACACCATTCCATAATAATTTTACTGCTAGATCTTAAATACATACTCTCAATCTTAACTCTAGCTTAACTTTTTTTTTTTTTTTTTTTTTTTTTTTTTTTATTTTTTTTTTTTTTTTTTTTTTTTTTTTTTTTTTTTTTTTTTTTTTTTTTTTTTTTGTCTTGAGAGACCAGGTGGGTGGACCAACTTGTTGGTGACAGAGACAAGCTTTCGAGCTTACACAGAGCTCTTCTTCAGGTCTGGGAAAGGCACTCCCAGCAAAATGCAAGGTGGAACAGATCGTTTAACATAAATAGTTCGCACATGTTGTAAGGAA